TTCGTGATATTCAAGATAACTACCTACTGAATTTATTACACGTCATATTTATATTTTCAGTCATTCTCGAATTTAATTTAAAATATATTGTTCTAGTTTGTTTTTTCTTGTCCAATACATTTTTCTGTATATTTTAGCATTTTCAGTGCATTTTCAGCATTTAAATGAACAATTTTAAGTGAATGTTATTACACTTATAATGACTTTTTTTAGAATCACAAGTCACGAGCCCAGGTATATAAACATTTTTTATAATATCAATTAGTATGAAAGGTAATTGTTCATACATATAAGCATACAAGTTTAAAAATATTAGTATTATATAAATTATATGTCACAACTCACAAGTCATATTTATATTTAATTTATATAGCACAGCTAATGGCCCCTCTGGCCTCTGATACTGCTTATAACTGTAAAGGTTTATATATCTATGTATTATTAATATATATATATTGGCATTACATCATATTCATAGAATACAACAACAGAAAATTGTAGATGGAAAACCAGAATACTCGGGCATAATAGAAGTGGCGTCGATTTTGCTGAAGACCGAGGGAATTACAGCTTTGTGGAAAGGTTGGCCTTTTTATTATTTACGAGTGGCACCAGGGACAATCTTGTTATTTATTTTCATGGAACAGCTTAAGAAAGGATATGAAGATAAGTTCATGAAAGACCAGTAACTTAACAAACATGAACCAATGTTTTTTTTTGTCATTTTACAATTTTTGTTTTTTCATTATTTGTTTTTGTTTATGAAATATAAATTAAAGGAAAAAAATCTCCATTCATAAAAGTGTTGATTTACGTGAAGCCCGTTAAGTCAATCAAATAGAATGAAATGATTGAATTTTCATACAGCTTTGAATTTAAGTAAAATTGTTTGTTTAGGTGCGACAAATAGTTAGTTGCTCCTATAACAATATGACGGCAATTTTCTAAATGCGGACATGCTACCCTATACACTACTGAGTACTGACTACTACATAAAACATATATATTATACCTTAGATTGTATGAAAAATATTTAAGCAAGTGTGAAATGAAAGTATTACATCAAAAATAATAATAAATGCAGACTGCAGAGGGCTTCTAGCATTTGTGTGTATTTGTTTTATGTAAAAAATGGACAACTAGAAACAATTTTTTTCATATTACGACAAAGTCAAATATGTAATTTTATGTTGCATATATAACGATATTTAGATTTTTTTGAGACATATTTGGATTGATTTTTGATTTTTTTTTTTTTTGTTTCTTTTTTAAGCTTTTTTGCACATTTTCAATCAAATAGTATTTATTTAATGAAAACAAGATTATATATACAATTTAATTTTTTGAAACTAATGCACTTCCGCACTGCCACATGCCACTGTCCAGTGTCCACATTTTTATAAACAGCTAGTCACACATTCCGATTAACAATTTTCATAATGATAGCCATTAACCCTCAGTGAAAAGTCTTAAGTAATTAGATCTAATCATCGAGTATTCGAGTGTGTATTTTATCAAAATTCTTTCGGGTCATTAATCGAGGCGTAACAAAATGACTCGACATGGGAACTGAAAACCATTTTGTATTTCAGTGTGTCTAGTCTTTCACACTCACTTCATCTTTAACTGTTCAAGTGCTCAACACAATTTTTATATACTTTTGTGTTAAACATTTGCATTATAATCAGCGTTGAAGCGTAATATAGCAAGTAATAAGTATACATACTGTATAGTATTGAAATTATATATTTATATTATTCTTTCTCCGAAATAGCTAAAATACATTTAAATGTATGAATGTGACCAGTGTGTGTCTACAATATGGTCACAAAAAGACTGATGTCAGTAAGATGAGAGTAAAAAATATAAATTTGAAAACATCATCATTTTGATAAAAATAATTTTAAATACTCCAATCAAAAAATATATAAGAATACAAATAATATTTATAGTAAGGTATACATATAGTTAAACGGAGTATTCGAGTTAAGAATATTTATGATTAAGTTCAGGTGATAGCTTTGATATTTTTGGTCCCTGGGTATGTTTGTCAATTGTCATATTAACTTCTATAAGCAAACTTCCTCAGTAAGTTGTAGTAAAAGTTATTTCTCCTTTAAGATAACGAACGAATCTAAAAATAAAACAAAATACGACATTTAAAATAGTGTAAAAAGTTAATTATTATTAAACCAAAAAACTAAAATAATTTAAAGTTTTGATTCATTCTATCATAGAAATACGACTGAAAATTTTTTTTAAATTTTTAGCCTTATATTTAAACTAAATCTGATGAGCAAATAAGTAATTTATTGATGGATTTTTAACTAATATATAAACTAGACACATAAGTACATCATTAATAGTCATGGCTCATGATCAATAATAAGATCTATTACCTACAGTTGGTACAGTTGCTTGTAAATAACTTACTTACTTGATATTTGGTTATTGAAGCGATTCATGCTATTATATTAATAAATATAGGTATTCATTTATAAATTACCTATAGTCTACAGAAATACTAAAGCTAATATATTAATCAAATATCATAACTAAAATTTTTTTTGTGTTAAAATATTTATCGATACCTATTATTATTCATATAATATTAATAATTATAGCGATAAATTTAAATAAAATTACAAAATCTACATAATCTATATGAAGTATCTTATAACTAAGATGCAGTCAAATCTCGATAACTCGAATCTCAAGAGCCAAGAAGGATACAAATTAATTCAACTTAGCGTTTTTCGAGCTGAATACGTCAAATATAATACTTATCTATACTTCGGAGGCAAGAAAAAACTTCGAGTCATGACTCGGCTGTACTTAGGTATATTGCAGAACAACATATATAAAGGAAAACAATTTTAGTAAAGTGCAATTATATCTATATAATGGGTACTTATGTTAGTTATTACTTATTATATATTGCACCTGTATAATTTATTGAACCACTTCATAATATATACAATACGGGTACATATCATAACATTTACCATTATATCTCATAGCTTCTAATACAAATTGAAAGGTATATATTGCCATTTAAAATAATAAAATATAGTACCTACTAGGATTTAGAAGAAGGGCATATTTATATAAGCATTGATAATAAATACTACTATTTAGTATTATAAGTATTTATAATCAATGGAAAAATCTTTGAAAACTTACGTACATCATTAACGAAAGGTGAGGGGAATGAACATTGGATAGGTATCGACGTGCTGGTCGTTATATATATTTTATCGAAACTTAGAAATTGACTGACGCACAGCGGACAATGTACAATATATTCCCGATGTAATATTAGATATTAGTTCAATAGTGCGTACATTTAATATTGCCTACTATTCATAATTTTATTAAGTATTTATATTTGACACAGGCTTTTTCAATTATAGTATTCAGTGAGTAATTAGTATTTACTTCAAATTATATAAAAAAAAATAATCCCATAAACGTTAATAATTGCCTACTTAATACTTTTCAAGAAAATGAGTGTTTACATTTAAATTAATTTAAAAATAACATATATCACTTATAATTTGTACACAAATGTAAAATACAATATGATAGTTCATTAGTAGGATGACTCATTAAGAGGACTTTATGTGTTATCTCCGTCTAACAACTTGATGGTGTTGTATCCGTCTAACAAACGTACAACATTGTACATTTACATTCGGAAAAATCCATTTATCTATAAAATGTATTGTTAGTTGTAATATTACAGTAAATTTATCTATAATCAAATTTCAAGGTAAGCATATTATTTGTGTATTTTCTTTATTTGAATTTTAAAGTGACAGTCATCAGCATTTTTAAATATTTATACTGTACAGTGTACATACTATTATAATTTGCTATAAAATTAAAATAGTTAATATTCTTACTTTGATATTTGTTAATCGATAAATTGTTTGTAATATTTAAAAATTTAAAACTAACAATACAAAATTAATAATTGACGAGCATGGAGCTATTTATAAATATGAGTTTTAAATATTACATTAAAAAAATTCTATGTAGTATGTACATCAAAAAATGTTGAAATAAATTTAATAAAAAATGAAAAAAAATACAGATAACGTTGTTACTTAATTGTTAAATTGTATGTAAAAGTTACCAAATCGATGTAATATAAAAAAAAAAACAGAAGAAGTCGCACTCAGAGTAGGTTTTGTGTGCATCTTGTCACTGAGCAGGGTACTGTAATCTGTGATGGATGTGATAGATTTCAATTAAATGAAAAGTCGTTGTACTCAAAAAGCGATTCTGAGCGGAGACGTAATAATAATGGAAATTCCCAAGTCCTTACAACTATTTTTTTTTCTTAATCAACTACCTATACTCAATTGTTTTTTTCGTTTATATATATCCAATTTTGTCCAAATTTTACATTAGAATATCAAACATAGTTATATATATAAAAAATGAATGTGCCTATTTATTATTATTAGATACATAAAGAATTGCGCTATGTGATTATTCGTTTGTACAGTATTGTGTTTAAATGTCTTTAATGTTATTCATTAATAAACGATGGCAGCAGAGGAGTAGCATTGTGCAGACAGACCCTCCTTTGCTGTCAGTTCTATCCGGAAAAAAAAAGGTACATAAAGAATACTCTGAGAAGTCTAAGAAAATTTTTATGAGAATCTTAACTTTCGAGTTTTTAAGCTATTAAAATTTAAACAATTATTAACGATTTGATATCAGAAACTACCATTAAAGTTGAAAGTTATAGCAGCTGCTCCAAAAGATGAATATACACATACAAAACAAACCAATAAATATACCTTCATAAAAAAACATCCAAAGCCACTAGTGTATAACACAACTTTATTCATTATATCCGATTATGCATCCGAGCCTTCTAATTTTACTCTACGGACCTATAACACAGTTCACAGAATCACAAATTAAGATTTCTTAATTCGTGCACATTAATAATAATTTAATTGAGATATACATATAAAATCGTATAGCTCTGCATAAAATGAGGTGTACTTATTTGATTTTACATATTTTGACATAAATACATGTTTTTACATATTTCATAATTATTCATTTTTTTTCTCAAATATTTAGAATATTTGACAGTTTTAACGTGTTTTTTTCAGAGGTCTTGAGTGATTGAAAGCTTATCATAAACTAAGCCAAAACTTAATAGTAGGTATATGTGTAGCACGGAATCGTCGGTTCGATGGTGTCGAACTGTCAACCGGACGTATTTTTGACGTGGCTAAAAGTGTAAATAAAGCAATTTTACGATAGAATCGGGGGTCTTTTGAATTTTAAAATTGAAAAATATATGTTGATCTAAATTACAATCTCCAGTATCTCCAGATAAACAATCATTTTTTTTTATTATACTATTTATTGTTATTATTATTATTATTATTTTTTTTTTGATAGGTATACATACTTCGAACTTTTTAGCACATATTTGTGTATACATAGTTTTGTTGTATAAATACATACTTTGTTTATATAAATACATATAAATCAGAGCCCTAGTTATTACTTGACACTTATTAGCTATTATTTATTACCTAGTTATTGCTACCCAATAAACATCAACCAATTTTGTATATTCAATATTTTTGTTATTACTTTTTCGTTGTTTAAAGTTTACTGTTAATAACTGTTTAGTTAATACTTTAGTGCGAGCAACTTATATAGCTTCCAGAGTGTTTTAATTTAATACCTTATGTGGAGACTTCAAGTTACATTAACACCTACATGTCATGCATTTGAATGACCTTGTTTGGTCTTGCGAATCTCGGTGACAATATTTTTTTTCATATCGAGTTATGATGGTTGAGGGGCCCCTGCATCAAATCCCCCCCGGCCTCGAAAAACTTTGGGGCGGTTCTGATAATATAGGTCATTGTTATTATTATTATTATTATTGTTATAGGTACAACGGCGAATGGCTGTGGCGTTATGCGTTGCAAATGCGAAGTTCAAGTAGGTACCGGAGTACACGAAACGCGACGCGGTAACACTGCGAACAGGGTCGGCGGCGGCGTACGACTCTTGTTTGCGGGGGTGGCGGCGCCGACGAGTACGATATTGTAATCAGCCGTTTCGCTTTCCAATTTCCACTTCCCCGCAGACCACCCGGTATACCCACCCGACCGGACCACCCACACCTCGAGGGTTCGGTTTGCCGCTCAGGTCGAATGCGATAGATACCCAAATCCCGGGAATGGTAGCATCTCGGTTAATCGTCGTTTCCGTCGGTCGATTAAAACGTTACAATTATTGAATTGTTGGTCTGCTTGGAAAAATCGAAACGTTCCCGTAGCCCATGCATGCGAGTATGGGTACGACATTGGCACAAGCTGTCATTCAAGCTACAGACACACGTGCGGCGGCCCCCCGATTGCCATAATATTACCGTCGTACGCCGAGCAAAGAATAACTCGGTATTATGAAATATTATTTCGTACGACCTATCGTCCTACGAAAAATATCATGCGAATCTCGTCGACGGAATTACATTATCATAATAAAACTATGTCATGCCGTTATCAGTCGTGAATCCCGGGATTTGGGAAGATGGGCAAGATGCCGTACAATAAAAATAATAATAATAATAATATGGACACGAATAATCGTTACGAACACGAAGAACACATTATTCGTCGATCGTAGGCCTCAGCTGACGTCTTTGGTGCGCGCGTACTCGTGTGCACGGTCGGGAGGACGGGAGAGGGCGGGCCCGTAGTAATAGTAATAATAACAATAATAATTTTGATAGCGACTATATTTTGCTCGTCGCGGTCGGTCGTCTTCACTCGTCCGTCACCGATAATTAAATCTCGCACGCAAAGACGACGACCACACTGTATTCCGGTGCCTATCGCCACCGCCGCCGTCGCCGCCGCCGCCGCCAACAACGACGACGACGACGACGATTTGCGCGCGCGGACGACGTCGTTCCGTTCGGCGCTTTAGTCGTTTATCAGACATTGCCCGGACGCTTCCCCGCCACCTCCGCCGCCTTCGATCATTAAACCCGCGCCGTCGACGGGGACGTCCCTCCTCGTGTGCTATGACAGCCGGCCGGTCGAATCGCGTCTAACACAAATAATTCAATAATATTATCATCATTCAATCGTCCGACTCGCGTCGTGTCGGGCAGTAATCCGCTGCTGTCGTCCGGCTGTTCGGTTGATCACCCTCTTTCGCTAATCGTAATATAATATTTCCGATTTTCGTCCGCCGCCGTCGGCGACCCTCCGTCCGGACGTTTTCGATTTTCCTTTTCCATATCCTCTAACGGCGATCATGGCCGTCAACGGTACAGACGTCAACAAGGTGACCGTCGTTCTGGGCGCCCAATGGGGCGATGAGGGCAAGGGCAAGGTGGTCGATATGTTGGCCACCGACGCGGACCTCGTGTGCAGGTGTCAGGTGAGAAGAAGCCATGCACGTTACTAATACCGTACGAATACCAAATCGCTGACCGTGATGTATTTATTTCTTTTTTTACCGTCGATTTCACTCGGTCGCGTGAGATTTTGACGGCCGTCCCACCGCGATCGCAACAACAACAACAATCATAATAATAACTTTCAAGGTTGCTGATGCGCGGCAGACGGCTCTATATTTTTATTATTATCTACATTTTTATCATTTTTTTTTTTCATTTTACCTTCGCGGCCATAAGGTCAACGCGCAGTGCTCATTTTTGCATTCGCACACAGGAATAATAGACATCACACACATCAAAAAATGTATTTAAATAAAAGTCCGCCGTGCTGTGCCAAAAGAATTTCGAATTTTTTTCCATCTCCAATGCTTTTGGCCTTATTTTCTTTTTAGTATTTTCATGTCATTGCATGCCACCAACCTAGGTGTTATTTTTATAATTTTTTTTGTTTGTCGCCTTCGTTGAAAAATTATATTTTATTTTGTGCAAGACTTGGCGGTCTTGGCTTACTATATGATGGCAATGAGTTTTATTACCTCCAACACGTATTATTAAGTGTTCTATTACAGAATTTACAACCTACCTATTAATCACACTGTCAACCAACCAACATTAAATTGTTCTTACTCTTTTCCACAGGTTGCAACATTTTCCCGCTATTTTTTTTTTTTTGTATTTCACTGAGCATGTCATTATAATAAACTTCCAATTTTTTACATTTGACATAAGTTCAATGTATCACTTAATCATTGTCGGAAATTGGATTAAGTATCTTGAACAATTATGTTATACCTATATTACAAGTGGTACCTATGGTTTTTCTTAAGCCTTTTAATTGTTCCCAATTTTCTTCAGAATTGGTTATTGGTTTATTATTATAATTCAAAATGAATGCATTGAGTACCTATTGTTATAACAGTATCACTTGAATTTTTAAACATAACTGTGGTTAATTTGTTATTAAATGTTAAGTTTTCATTTTAGGGAGGAAACAATGCAGGCCACACTGTTGTTGTGGATAATAAGGAATTTGATTTTCACTTATTGCCTAGTGGAATTATAAATCCTAATTGCAAATCTGTAATTGGTAAGATATGAATTCTTTTCAAATTTTTGTTTGTAAGTTTATTACATACAAGAGAACTACCTATAGAAGTGTCCACACACTGCCGCGGTGGCGGTAAATTGTGTCAGGACTCATTTTACTGCCACCGCGGCAGTGTGTGGGGACCTTAATACACCAATAAGTAATTAAAATAAAATTACCTATATCCACCAATCAAAATATAATAAGCATTACCTATAAATATTTTCAACACATTCTCTACAAATCATTATATTGAATCATAATATAAGCAACACTATGAAAAAAACTAAATAAGTATGTAGGTACTACCATTGATCATAAATACTATAGATGGCCCACTGCGGTACAAAATACGCTGCACTGAATTTACTAGTGATTTTTAAATGGAACTGACTGAGTGGCGTATGTTATAATCTGGCAGCTTAGTCAGTTCTGGTGTGTAACACCGAGATTACTAGTAAATTCAGCTTGACGTATTTTATACCGCGGTCAGCCATCAATGATATTTATCATCAATGGTAATACAAAAAAGATAATGAACTTACCTTAATTCATTGCAAGTCAATGTTTCATTGTTATTATCATCAATCTGCTTACAATGATAATTCATCATTACATTTGTAATTTTGTTTATTTGCTCAGAGAAGCTCGATTAATTATTAATCATTTACCTAGTTGAAAATGAACATTTTTCAGTTTTTTTTCATTTACTCGACCAATGTTGGACCTTTACCAATTTTATGAAAAATTTTGTTTATTAGTACATTCCGAGGTAGGTACAATTTGTGCAAAACTTGATGTTAAAAATGCTGCCCGGAAAAAAAAATTCAAAATAAGATATTTTTATAGAATTATTTGAATTATTAAAACTTTAGGTAGGTATTATAGTACTGACAATATTAAAAAACCTAATTTTAAATTATTTAGCTACCTATAATACATAAATGCTCTAGTTAAGTATCTAGGTATATATAAACTTTTAACTATTTATAATTTTTCAATTTGAGATAGTAAGAGCCTTACCATACTATGCATATAATTTGTATAATTTTAACATAAAATTAATATTTTTATGTGTTCAAAATATAACAGGTAATGGAGTTGTTATCCATCTACCTGGATTATTCGAAGAGTGCAGTAAAAATGAAAAGAAAGGGCTTTTGGACTGGAAGAAACGATTGTTGATTTCTGATCGTGCTCATCTTGTGTTTGATTTCCATCAAGTAATATTTCTATAATATTTATGAATATATTAATTATAATTTAAACTAGTGCATATTTAATTTATAAAGGTTTGAGAGCATACAAAATAAAATAAATAGTAATTTTTATTTATACAGAGTGATTGATTTTTAAATAGTATATACATTTGTTGAGTTATAACTACTAATGATGTGTACTTTTCGTACTAATCTGCCTAGTTTAATCAACCTTTAATATTTTAATTAGTCTTATAAGATACTTATCCTAATTGTACCTATATATTATTATATTATATATATTTATACCTATATATCAATGCTTAACCATAAAAACAATGAAATTCTTTACTACTGTGTCATTATTTTTAGGCATTAAAAAAATGTTATAATAACTAACTACCTAGCTAATATACATAATTATGCAATTTATTTAAGTATTTAACATACACATTGTTTCGACTTTAGTCATGATTAATTTTTCATTTATAAAAAGTAATACCTACATAACTTTTATTCATATAATTACTACAGTTATGATTTATTTTATTATGCTATTACAATCATTTTTGTATTTATGTGTGCCAGACACCAAACTATACCAACTAAATTGTTATATTGCATGTGTTCTAAATGACAATTGTTTATAAAGATTTTTGCTCCATGTTGAGTATGAATATTAAATTCTTATTTTGTCTAAATTATTATAGCCATTATTGTAATGTTATTAGTGATAGGTAGTAGGTAAACAAGTTTATCAATTTTAAATTACCCATGAAACTAAAAATATTAAGACAAGGTTAAAGGGTCATTTTATAATACACTTATTCTAATATCTTTATTTAAATTTATAAATGTATTTATTTATATATATTTTTTAAATATAGCAAGTGGATGGTCTCCAAGAAATGGAAAAGGGTAAAAAGTCGTTGGGAACAACAAAAAAAGGTATTGGGCCAACTTATGCTTCTAAGGCAACTAGAAATGGTCTAAGATTGGCAGATTTACTTGGAGATTTCAACATGTTTAAAGAGAAGTTAGTTTAGTTTCTAATTAGTTAAATATATAAAAAGTAATAAGTGTGCAAAGTTTTGTAATAGTTAACTTTGAAGTATATATGAAGTATTTATAAAATAAAGTAAATTAATCAACGTTTTTTAAACTTTCACTATACATTTTATTTTAAGTGTCTTCTTTATTTTTTTTCTAGTATCTTAATGGTTTTTAATTTTTGTACACTTACCTACATATTTAATTATCTTATGTGTGCCCACATAAATACTTAATTTGTGTTTACCAAAATTGTTTAGTATAGGTCAAAAAAATCTGAACAATGTCTGTGTATCATAATAATTATATCTATTACAAGTCCTTACTGTTTGGTTTCTTAGTTAAAAAATTATTGTGTATTCACTCTTAATTTAACTTAGGCACCTGTTATAAATTCAAATTTATTTGAAAGTCATTATTATATTTCTGATTATATTTATATTTTAAGGTTTTACAACTTGGTCGATATACATAAACGAATGTTTCCATTATTGGAAGTGGACACAGAAGAAGAATTAAAAAAATATGAATATTATGCTAATGAATTAAGACCATTAGTAGTGGAAACTGTTGGATATTTGCATACCGCATTAAAAGAAGGAAAGCGAATTTTGGTGGAAGGTGCTAATGCAGCAATGTTAGATATTGATTTTGGTAATAACATAATTAACTTCTAAGATATTTGTTTGATAATGAATAAAGTAATTAAAGGGTTTTAATAACTAAATAGGTACATACCCATATGTAACATCATCAAATTGTAGTATTGGTGGTGTTTGCACTGGTCTTGGTTTACCTCCATCAAGAATTGGCGATGTTATTGGAGTCGTCAAAGCATATACTACAAGAGTTGGTGATGGGCCATTTCCAACAGAGTTATTTGATGTAAATATTTATTGTATACAAAATTTTAAAATCTCTTATATCCTAATTTTATTTAATTTTTCTTTTATCTAAAATGTGCATTAGTTAATATAACTTAATTTATGACTTTAATTTGAATTTAATAATTAAATTAATTATTTTAATATTCTTGAATTTATTTAGGATGTCGGTGAAAAGCTACAGACCATTGGGAATGAAGTTGGTGTTACAACTAAACGAAAGCGTCGCTGTGGATGGTTGGATATCCCACTTTTGAAATATACATCGATGGTCAATGGATATACTAAGTGAGAAATGTTCTATATATAAAACATGTCTATTCATTAATTGTTGCATTTTCAATAACTTATAATATTAAAAATGATGAAAATAATTTTATAATAATTCGTTTGTACTTGCTTATTTAATTTAAAATTTTTAAAATTTGATAAGTTAATTATTTAATAATAAGTGTTAGTTTTAAGCAAACACCAATTTAATAACCAATAACTTATAGTTTTATATTTTGGAACAATTTGCACACAAATTTGATCTTTTCACTGCTAGACTATTTATGCTTTGCCATCTGTATAGCTATGATTCATAAAATAGTAAAACCAGTAGGTCATACGGTTAAAGTTTGTGTTCATTGTCACCAATTAAAATATGTATTGAATTAAAAATGGCAAATGCAAGTATTCCTAAATCCTGGTATGGCAGCTATAAGAAACTATACAAATAATAAACTCATACCTATTTAATGTATAACATATGTTATTTGGTTTAAAAAATTTTAAATAGATATCTTGTCCTGTTGCAGTGAGCTATTTCTTACTACTATATACATAACTTATTTTACAGTAACAGAAAATCTGAAAACGTATATGATAAGTATCTCGGAATCAATACCCAATTCCCACCATCAATATTGAGAAAAAATTGCCTCCTATAGTGCCTGCATAAACATGGTGATCCATTTAAGAGGATACACTAATTATCTCAAAAAGTATTTACTTTTTTTTTGAAATCTTAAATTTACGCTTTTTTAAAACTATAATATTAAAAAAAATTTCACCCTTATGTTTATTGGTGAAACTACTATCAACTCTTGATTTCCAAATGGGAGCATATGATAAAAAGGTCATAAATTGATAAAACTATTTTTTTATGAATTTTCACATAACAATTTTTATTTTTTTGTTATATGGTTTGCAATGTACAGTTGCTCAAAGTTTAGTGATTTAAGGTGTTATAGTCGGCAGTGCTACAAATATTCAGTTATCCAAATAACCAGTTTTCTATTAATCATTTGTCGTAATTTGTTATGTATATTTAGTCAATAGGCTAATTAATGATTTGAGTTCAAAGTACAATAGTTATCACTTATTAATTGTTACCTTGGGTTGAACGATATCAAATGTATCACTTAAGGCTTCTGATCTTTACAAATTAATAAATAGTTTAATCAACATCTCCTTAAACCACTGAACTTTGAGGAGCTGTATCTTATTAATAAAAAATGAAAATTGTTATGCTAATATTCATAAATAAAATAGTCTTATTAATTTATGACATTTTTATCAAATTTTCCCATTTGAAGATCAAAAGTTGATAGTTGTTTCACCAATAAATAGAAAGGTGAACAAATTTAAATGTTATGCAGTTTTAGAAAAGCATAAATCTTAAAGTTTAAAAAAAAAAAATTCAAAAAAAGTTTATAAAATTCAAGATGAATAATGTACCCTCTTAAATGGATCACTATATATAAACCAATCACTACTCGTAATTATTATAAACTTGAAAACACCAAAAATTGTAGAAATGTTGTTTATACATATCACAAAATTAAAATATGATTGTAATAACCATTAAATTAATAAGTAATGCATATCTACACAAATAAAAATTATAGACAAAATACAATGCTCACAGTAACAATAGAATGGTAATAGTATAGTTTATTTTATTTTACTCATTGTAGCTAAGATATCTCATGTTCTAACCATACTTGGTATAAACATATCTTAATGGGCTATTAGCTGTATCTCAAACTTATTTCTGTTGTATGTTTATTTCTGAAATATTTAAATAGTGTAAAATAATAACAATGTTAATCTATTTAACATTAAATAATTTATAATTATATTACGTTTTTAGAATTTGTTTGACCAAACTTGACATACTAGATACTTTTGATGAAGTAAAAATTGGAGTGGAGTATCAGTTAAATGGAAAAGCGCTCAATTATTATCCATCCAGTTTATTTGAACTTTCATCTGTTGAAGTATGTATAATTTCAAATTATCATTTATCCACTATTATTATGTTAACTATTGTAATAAATATGTTTATAAATTTAATTGTTTAGGTTAAATATTTAACTTTGCCTGGTTGGAAAACTAATATTAGTGGCATAAGACATTTTGATGATCTGCCCGAGAATGCAAGAAAATTTGTGTTTACTATCACAGAACTCCTTGATGTACCAGGTAATTCAATAGGTATTTAGCTTTCTTAAAAAAAATTTAACATTAATAGACTGATGTTACATTTTATTTATCTAAACATGGAACATTAAAGATATGTATACAAGTAATGTTAATCATTATGAAATGCAAATGTCAAGTTGATGTTTTTTTTTATATAAATTATTTGAAAAAAAATAGCTTGTATAAAGTAAAGTACTTTTTATTAAATGTAATCTAAATGTGTTATTTTTAACAAAGCAAAATGTTCTTATGAAATATTCTCTTAAAATGTTCTTACAAAATGTAATTGTACTAAATTAAATTATAATTTTATTTCATTCAAAGTAATAAATTGGAAATTAATTTTATTGACAGTTGCTATTAATGCAATTATAAATTAATTTTTGACTGAAGTACTGTATTTTACATTTATAATACAAATTATATAAGTATATATATTTTTTTTTTCAGTTAAATGGGTTGGAGTTGGCCAAGGAAGAGAATCAATGATTAATGTTGATTATTGATTTTTCTTTTTTAAATATTCATTGAATAAGCTTTAATTTGATCAAGTTATTACTCAAGTTGGTAAATGTTTAAAGCACAAATTACATTTGTATGCTCTTAAATTTTAATTGTTGAAGTTAATAAAATTACTATACAATTCAAATATACTTCTTTTAAACTTTAACTTTTATCAAACTAGTCAGACTAGTAACTTGGACCAGATAAATAATACAGACAATAAAATCAGAAGTTAATGTATATTTCAAATTATGAGTTAAGTTTAAAATTACAATTTAGATAACATAAAATGTGGTATAATAATGGCTTGAATACTTATAAACAAAATTATAATTTATAAAACATCAGAATTAAGTGTTTCTGTTTTTATTCTTAAATTGATAACCATTGTATATTGTTATTGTTTCAATTGAATAATGTTGCACTTAATATTATTTTCTCTGGTGAACATTTTAACTGGAAAAATTCCATCGGTAATATTTTTTAATATTTTTTATTTTATAATTGTAAATACATCTATTGTTTTCCATGTTGTTACATTGTTAAACATATTTAAGCAAAAATAATATTTGGTTATGAATGTTATGAATTTATGATGTATACTTTAAAACACAATTAAATATTTTACCACACCTGTATGAGCTGTTATTATTTTTTGATAAGTAAAATGTGACTTTTGAGAAGCACTCATCTCGAATAACACAACTGCCACTCAAATGTAATGACTAGTATGCATTGCATTTATGCATTTCCTCAGATCTATGTGTACAAGGTATCATAGTGTATGTTTGTATGATATAAGGTATAATATAATTCTTTTATTAATTTGACGCAATGAAGTGGTGGTGTTGATATACATATTTTGAGGGTAGTGGGTGTGATTTGACTTGCCGTACAATCAATGCATTGCTATTTACTATTGAAATCCAGAAATAATGTATTAAATACTTTGACAGTATTCAATTCAGTATTTACAATAATTATGATATAATTAATATTTAACTACATTTAAAATTACGATATTCAATAATTATTAAAAATAATGTATATTTTCAATCTATTGAGTTTATATTAAGGGAAAGAAACTTAACATGGCTATAAAATTAAATAACTAATTAGTGAATACTCATCATGGGAAAAAACAAATTCTTAAGCAAAAAATTACTTTAAACAAATTAATTAACTTGTTATGCAACTAACTTAGTGCTAAGTCTTGCCTACAAAGGCGTATAGTATAGGATGAAGGCGAGGTTAAAGATTTTATATAGTTCACTTTTGATTAATGCTTTCATAGTTGAAGTAGCATATACTTTTTTCTTGTTTTTGTTTTGCTATTTCAATTTAAAAATGTTAAATAAAAAATAAATGTCAAGTCGAGTCTTAGTCACAGGATAAGTTAAAAAGTAGTTAGTACATTACATTTATAATATTTTATTATAAGATATCTGATAAAATTATAGATTATATGCTAATTTGATGAATATTATATACTTCTGAACCTTAAAGTTTGACATCTATGGATTGTAAATACATTTTTCAGAAACAACATTATACATAAATATCAATTTTTCCCAACAGGCTATGTATTCAAAACGCCCACATTCTCGTTTTTTAACGGATTTAATATAGGCAATTTTAATAAAATGTTGAGAAAAATTAAAATTTTAAATCTTAAATATATTTAGTACCAATTCAAACTTATTTATGAGTGATTTCAAGTCAGTACCGTTGTAAGCTGTTGTGTAGTCATAAAATGAAGTAGTCAAGTGTTATGGGTGAAAAAGATTCACCTAGCTAAATTTTAGCCAAGAAAGAAGATTTGTACACAAGAAAACAATTTTGGCTGTATCACCTTTTTTTATTTCAATCATACAAACAAAATTATAATTGTTAGTTATTATTATATTTTTCAAACTTATAATTGTTTTCATAGTAATAATGTATAAAAAAAAAACAATTAAAAACGCTAAATATTGTCTTCTTCATTGAATTGTTATATTTTGCGTGAAACTGTTTATCCATCTATTATGCAATTTCATATAACTACTCACCAACTAATAAAGGTTCTTATATGGGACTATTTGCAAGTTACTTTAAATATATTAAAGTCTTAAAGGTATTATTTTAATTTTCTCAAAATGTCATAATTGCCTATACAGAACCCCTCAAAAAGTGAATATTTGGCTCAGTTGTTGTAGAAAATGATAGCTCTGGTTTACTCGCAATATAGCAAATTTACATTCAGCAACCTTATTCTCGTGATGTTAACCTTAGTATTAAAGTGAATATACAACTTAAAGTTAAAAAAATTATCTGTGTTCTTACCTTGGAGTTTTTTATGATTTTTTAATTTTAATGCCAGCTACGAGCAAGGAACGCAGGAAAAAAATACGGAGGGGTTTTTGAGAAAATTTAAAATATTCTTAAATGTCATACTGTTCACACCGTATTATTTATACTATTTCAACAGGGAACTTTTTTTAATAACTTAAATACATTTTTTTTATTTATTTGTTAGTATTACATATTTTGTAGGTCAGATAATGTTATTTATATATTATTTTTTGGGCAGAAAAAAAACAGAAGTACTCATTGATATGAGAAGTTAATACTAAAGCCACTTAATACCTAGAATCTGAATAATCTATTACATTAACTATTTGAAAACTATTAGGAAACCTAACGTTTTATATTAAAAAAATATTGTATCCAAATCTTTTTTTAAAGCTGCTAATAAAACGACGTAACTAAGTTTTGTTTTATGTATTATTTAAATTTTAGTATAATAATAATTAAGAAAGTATGTACATAATCGTGTATGAATATTGAATACGTCTTCTACGTATAAAAACAGGTATGCAATGTTGGAGCAGTGGTGGCGGGGGTTAGGTGTGTAGTAGTAGTTTTTTTTGTAAAAATAAATTACGCAGTGCCGTAATTTTCTGCGGCATAGTGTTTAGCACACACGGACGTTTTGTAGGTCGTCGAATGGGCCCCTATTAACCTTATATAATTTCTTGGTGAAAACATACCTCTACGAGCTAGTAAAAAAAGAAAATAATAATAATTGTAATTGTAATGTTCGTTACAACAATGAACAGGAAAAACGTTATCTAGGATCTTCGAACATTTTTAAATTCTGAGCTGAGCCACGTAGTAATATATTAAGTATGATTTTTGTATTAATTTTATTATTTGTGAGTTAAAAAGCTTGAAAATATAGTACTTGGGTCCTGATAACTGATAAATGATAAGTTGTTTTTATCACAACTAATAATTTCGAAAATACTTTCTAACATTTTTTAATAATTTTGTTGAAGTATATTCTTTAACAAAATCCGTTAAAATCACGAATATGTTGCAAATTATTTTATAAATAGTTAAAAATGTATGCCATTTTCAATATTATTAGGTATGGGCTAATTTAAACAAGGTTTCTCATAAGCAGTGGCGATACAAATTATTTAGTGTTCATGTGTACAGTTAGGTTGCCTATATATAACTCCCAAGTTCAAACTCCTTGTAACATTTAATGGTAGATTGGTAAGTATGAATTTAACTTTGTATAATCTATTAATCTAGATATATTGGGTGTAAGCATGTAACGCAGTAATAATAAACATCAAAGTATGGTTGATTTGAAAACTAATAAATTGTAAGTAATAAGTTAATAACCAATAATTAATCCGGAAAGCGGAAGTAACAAATTCATAAACTCAGGGAGACTGATTTATTTTAACAATTTTATTTAAATTTTTATTAAAATGGCACTAGTTTTATTGGTACTATTTGCCAATAGCCATTTATGTATTTTTTACGAGTGTCTAGGAAGAATACCGTTTCATATAAAATTATATTTCGCACCAGATCGTACAAATCCTAAAGCTGGCACTTGAAGTACGTCGTATACTTGAGAGATTTTTCGTAACTACCCGACAGTTATTTAATTTCATACCTTTATTTTTTTAAGTGCCCAAATTAATGATATAGCTGATCATAACACTGTTATATAATACTGACAATAATAATAGTACCATAAATTACAGAGTCGATGGAGATCAATTAGAAACGGCTAATGGTGATTTCTATACGTCATGTTTGACGTGTAAAAGTAGTTTGATTTGCATAATGATTGTAATAACTTACAATATAGTATTTAGGAATTTTTTTTTTTTTTCTAGAGGGTACCATCACTGGATGATTTCCCTCATCATGTGCCTCATGTGTATTTTATATATATATAGTGTTATATAAATTATCTATTTTACTTATTGTGTCATGTAACACAGATAGTAAATTTTCTAAAAAAAAAAATTAAAAAAAAAAAGGAATTTTTTTTATAACCCTAAGTATATTTATATGCTCAAGACCCTGGTGTAATTTAAAATTTAATACATCTTGGTATTGTATACATATTAATGTATAAGAAATTATAATTAAAGTAAAACTATTGAGTTCGAGACTCGCGTCGTATAATTGCCCAGCGGTGTCACTTTTATGAAATTTACTATGATAGTTTTATCTAATATGAAAAATCTAGAAAGTGGTTTGTGATTGATCTTATAATCACACCAGTGACATGAACACAAAAAAACACTTAGGGGTACACAAAAAATTAAAAATAATATTATCTTTAACGATTGATATCGTTGTATTAATCTAGAGAATTTTACACTTAACACATACGCCGCCATTCAGACTTCGAATCTATGACGTCATACGCATATTTTCATACGCCTGTATGACTGTATCTTAATAATAATATGAATGTTAAGGTGTGAGACCCAAACCATATTTCTTAGATAATAACATCTTTAAATCTAAAAAAACTTGTTTTTAGTGTTGTGATGTCCTTTAAGGCTTACCTACTGCATTTTTTTACTATTTTATTTAAGTCATATTTTCACATTAAGAAGCATTATCACTTATCAGCATCTTATATTATTCCGGAAAAATAATCAATTACAAATGGTTGCCACAAGATTGATAAGAAAATCTTAGTCTGGAATCTGCACACGACTAATACACCTGAGTACCTGATATAGTGATATAATGTACTTAAAAAAAAAACACAAATACAGCTAGATACATAATATTATTACTAGGGCTGTGAATTCTATACACTAAAGAACCTTAAAAAATGCATTAAAAATGTCAAAAATATGCAAAAAATATGCACTTAAAATGCAAAAAATGCAATGTAAAATGCCAAAAATTATAGTATAAAATTCATTTGAAATGGTTTTTAATTTAATTTTTAT